GGTTTGTTGGAACCAATTCCAGATGACAAGCTGACAGAAACTTTTGTACCAAAAGACGAAACAAACTTTTCACTGTTAGCAAGACCAAAAGTTGTTCCAGACAAAGTTCTAGTACAAAAGAAGTACACAATTCCACAAGGAGTTGGATTGTTCGGATACCAACCTGAACCAGAAGAACTTCCAATGAGGTTGCAAGAACTTCAAGATGCTATAAACAAACTTCCATTGAGACATCCAATTGACGTCAAATTGTATTGGAGAGCATCTGAGTTAGGTCAGAAGGTTTTATATGAAACAGGTTGCTTCGACGATGTTTATGAGATAACAGGAGAAGTTTCTCAGAAGATAAGAGACTCACTTGAATTTCCACAAACTGGACCAATTGGTTGCGACAAGTTCGACTCAGATGAAAAGATATACTATGTCGACCTTAACGCTGCATACATGAGGTTTGTCCAATATATTCCGACTGGAATTCCAAACGAAGATGGTGAGTTCCCGGGAAGGAACTATACAGTTGGAAAAGTCATACAACAACTGTATGATATTAGGAAAGCTTCAAACCCCAAACTTGCAATGACACTCAAATTGCTTATGAATTCGACATGGGGATATTCCATTAAGAAACCTCAAGAGATGAAGAGTAAACATTATGAGAAGGTCGACAACTTTGTTGAAAGGTTTTCTCCTTTTGTTTTGAAGTACGAATTCACTCAAGGTCAAAGTGGCTTAGTAACCACATTAAAACCTATTGTCGAACATTGGTCTTACCCTCAGTTCGCAAAGGCAGTCCTTGACAACTACAACAAATTCTTCTCCGAAGTCAAATCGAAAGTTGTGGTTTACTATGAGAACATTGACGCACTCATGACGAACGAAGAAGGGTACAACAAACTCATTGAAATGGGCATGGTCGGTGAGAAGATGGGTCAATTCAAATTGGACAAAATTTTCACCGAAGTTCATGTCCTCTCCAAGCGTAAGTACTGGGGCATACTTGAAGACGGCACAGAAATAAAACATTGCATGAAATAAAAAATTTTTATTCGAATTTGAATTTAAATGTGGGAATTCTTGGGAACGGGAAAGGCTTATTTACTTGAGGAACAGGTAAAGGTGGTGGAGGTGGAGGTGGTGGCAACCAGTCCATTTTATATTCCTTCCTAGCTAATTTCCGTTTAATTTCATGGTCGCCCTCGGAGTCTTTGAATCGGACAGGTCGAGTTACACCATTCTTGGTCTCAAACTCATATATAACCTGTTTGTCTGTATTTTCTTCGACTATGGCACGAGACACAAACATTGACCAAACGGACAAAAAGTGTCATTTCGGATGGTCAAGCAGCCCAATCGCATTCGAGCACTTCGAAGAAGCCTTACGTTCCAAGGGAGAGGGTGTCTGGTGCAAGGCAGAGGTCATGAAACTCTACGAGCAGTACATCCTCAATGCCTGGGAGGACAAATCGTCCTTGGATTGGCAATTCTACCAACTCCTCTGGGACGACCTCCTACGCAACTGGATAACGAAAGAGTCCAATTCAAAGGTCGGGAACTAATTTTGCAAATTACCCTTAATTTAACATACTTATCCAAATAAACACCTAAATTTACTTGGGGTTTCCCCTAAAATAAATTTTTTTTACTCTTAGAACCACTCGAGGTTCTCCTTACGGTTGTTGAGCTTGTCACCGTCAATGTGTCTGACCCTCGTCTTCTTGTCTGGATTTGGAACCCATTGCATACCGACAAGCCTTCCCATGGAAACTGAACCGTAATTCGAAGGTTAAGGTTCAAGTGTCCCAAGTTGTTGAGGACTGGGGTAAGAACCTTGCCTGTCTCCTTGTTGCGGATTTGGTATGGGTAGGGTTGGGAAATTTCGTAAGCGTCATCGACAACAAGGGTTGCCCAAACTTCCTTTTCTTCGTGTTTCTCTTCTTCTTCTTCCTCTTCTTCCTCTTCTTTGATAATACCTTCGGCAATTCTGTGTTCACGAAGTACGGTGTTGCATGTTCTGTCCTTTCCGAGTACCTTCCAGATGGCGTCTATCTCTTCGAAGAAACGGTAGATGAGTCGGGCAAGGTTTTGGTTCTCTATGTTGTATTGGCGCAAGGTTTCCGCGAAATCGTTCAGGACTTTCTTATTGGAAGCTTGGTTCGTGAGGACTTCGACTTTGAGATTGGTTATCTCTTCCATAAGACTACTTTGGAGAGTCTTAATGGTGTTTGACAGATGAGCGTTCAATTGGGCAATTTGAATTTGAACTGGGCGCTTGCCTGGCAACCTTGAAAGGACATCTTTCATTGAGTTTGGCTTCGGTGCTTGTTCGGACATCGAAAAAATGAAGTGGTTTGAGAATGACGGTTTTACTTCAAAAAGCTTGTTATGACAGTTATGTCATACTCTTATATACGAAAAAAGGAGATTTGACAGAATGTCAAATCTCCTCAAAAAGTGACAGTTTACATGGCAAACAACTGCGAGCAATTTTTAGCCATTTTGGCTGAGAACTAGGGTCTGCGAGGTACATAGATAGAATCAGTACCTCGCAGACTCTAGTTCTCTATATGGCGCCGAAAATTTGTTAAAATATTTTTTCAATATAGACTTCTGAAATAATTAAATTATTCTCAAATTCTCACAAATTATTTCATTTCAAATTTGTTTAAAATGAATTTGTACACCTTAGTTGATTCAGCTTGGCTTGAAACAGCTCTAGCACAGATTCAAATGCGCACACCGTTAGCCATTGTTCTCACAAATGTTCCATTAGTCAACAACACTATTCGTTCATCAATTAACAAGATAACATTTTACAAAGCTCTCTTATGTAATAGACTAATTACTATTGAAGAGTACTTACATCATACATACAAACTTCAAGAGTTTACTACTTTCTACATTAAATATAATAATCGACTCTACGAGTGTTCATCCATTTTGAAACACAGAGATGACACTCTCCTTACCGATTATTTGATATTACAAAGTTCAAACGACTCTCGTATACAGGAAGAACCCTCATCAGCCAGCACTCCTCTACAACGCCAGCTTTCATCAGCCAGCACTACCAACTCTGTTCCACAGCAACAGCTCTCAACAGCCAACGCTCCTCTACAAAGCCCACTTTCTGCCAACACCCCGCCACAACGCTAGCTCTCTGCCAACGCTCCTCTTCAACGCCAGCTTTCATTAGCCAGCAGTACCAACACTCCCCCACAGCCACAACTCTCTGCCAGCACTCCCCCACAACGCCAGCTCTCTGCCAACTCTCCCCCACAACGCCAGCTCTCTGCCAACTCTCTTCCACAGCAACAACTCTCTGCCAACACCTCGGCGCAGCAACAACTCTCTGCCAACACCCAGACACAACGCCAGCTCTCTGCCAACTCTCTTCCACAGCAACAACTCTCTGCCAACACTCCTCTTCAACGCCAACTCTCTGCCAACTCTCTTCCACAGCAACAACTCTCTGCCAACACCCCCACAACGCCAGCTCTCTGCCAACTCTCTTCCACAGCAACAACTCTCTGCCAACACTCATCTTCAACGCCAGCTCTCTGCCAACACCTCGGCACAGCAACAACTCTCTGCCAACACTCATCTTCAACGCCAGCTCTCTGCCAACACCTCGGCGCAGCAACAACTCTCTGCCAACACCCAGACACAACTCCAGCTCTCTGCCAACTCTCTTCCACAGCAACAACTCTCTGCCAACACCCAGACACAACTCCAGCTCTCTGCCAACTCTCTTCCACAGCAACAACTCTCTGCCAACACCCAGACACAACGCCAGCTCTCTGCCAACTCTCTTCCACAGCAACAACTCTCTGCCAACACCCCCACAACGCCAGCTCTCTGCCAACTCTCTTCCACAGCAACAACTCTCTGCCAACACCCCCACAACGCCAGCTCTCTGCCAACTCTCTTCCACAGCAACAACTCTCTGCCAACACCCCCACAACGCCAGCTCTCTGCCAACTCTCTTCTACAGCAACAACTCTCTGCCAACACTCCTCTTCAACGCCAGCTCTCTGCCAACACCTCGGCACAGCAACAACTCTCTGCCAACACCCCCACAACGCCAGCTCTCTGCCAAAACTCATCTTCAACGCCAGCTATCTGCCAAAACTTCGGCACAGCAACAACTCTCTGCCAACACCCAGACACAATTCCAGCTCTCTGCCAACACCCCTCTTCAGCGCCAGCTATCTGCCAACACTTCGGCACAGCAACAACTCTCTGCCAACACTCTTCCACAGCAACAACTCTCTGCCAACACTCCTCTTCAACGCCAACTCTCTGCCAACACTCTTCCACAGCAACAACTCTCTGCCAACACCCCCACAACGCCAGCTCTCTGCCAAAACTCATCTTCAACGCCAGCTATCTGCCAAAACTTCGGCACAGCAACAACTCTCTGCCAACACCCAGACACAATTCCAGCTCTCTGCCAACACCCCTCTTCAGCGCCAGCTATCTGCCAACACTTCGGCACAGCAACAACTCTCTGCCAACACTCTTCCACAGCAACAACTCTCTGCCAACACTCCTCTTCAACGCCAACTCTCTGCCAACACTCTTTCCACAGCAACAACTCTCTGCCAACACCCTCACAACGCCAGCTCTCTGCCAACACTCCCCCACAGCCACAACTCTCTGCCAACACCCCCACAACGCCAGCTCTCTGCCAACACTCCCCCACAGCCACAACTCTCTGCCAACACTCCTCTTCAACGCCAACTCTCTGCCAATACTCATCTTCAACGCCAGCTCTCTGCCAACACCTCGGCACAGCAACAACTCTCTGCCAACACTCTTCCACAACGCCAGCTCTCTGCCAACACTCCTCTTCAACGCCAGCTCTCTGCCAACACTCCTCTTCAACGCCAACTCTCTGCCAACACTCTTCCACAGCAACAACTCTCTGCCAACACTCTTCCACAACGCCAGCTCTCTGCCAACACTCCTCTTCAACGCCAGCTCTCTGCCAACACTCCTCTTCAACGCCAACTCTCTGCCAACACTCTTCCACAACGCCAGCTCTCTGCCAACACCCCCACAACGCCAGCTCTCTGCCAACACTCCCCCACAGCCACAACTCTCTGCCAACACTCCTCTTCAACGCCAGCTCTCTGCCAACACTCTTCCACAGCAACAACTCTCTGCCAACACTCCTCTTCAACGCCAACTCTCTGCCAATACTCATCTTCAACGCCAGCTCTCTGCCAACACCTCGGCACAGCAACAACTCTCTGCCAACACTCTTCCACAACGCCAGCTCTCTGCCAACACTCCTCTTCAACGCCAGCTCTCTGCCAACACTCCTCTTCAACGCCAACTCTCTGCCAACACTCCTCTTCAACGCCAACTCTCTGCCAACACTCCTCTTCAACGCCAACTCTCTGCCAATACTCATCTTCAACGCCAGCTCTCTGCCAACACTCTTCTACAGCAACAACTCTCTGCCAACACTCCTCTTCAACGCCAGCTCTCTGCCAACACTCTTCCACAGCAACAACTCTCTGCCAACACTCCTCTTCAACGCCAACTCTCTGCCAATACTCATCTTCAACGCCAGCTCTCTGCCAACACCTCGGCACAGCAACAACTCTCTGCCAACACTCTTCCACAACGCCAGCTCTCTGCCAACACTCCTCTTCAACGCCAGCTCTCTGCCAACACTCCTCTTCAACGCCAACTCTCTGCCAACACTCCTCTTCAACGCCAACTCTCTGCCAACACTCCTCTTCAACGCCAACTCTCTGCCAATACTCATCTTCAACGCCAGCTCTCTGCCAACACTCTTCTACAGCAACAACTCTCTGCCAACACTCTTCCACAGCAACAACTCTCTGCCAACTCTCTTCCACAGCAACAACTCTCTGCCAACACTCATCTTCAACGCCAGCTCTCTGCCAACACCTCGGCACAGCAACAACTCTCTGCCAACACTCATCTTCAACGCCAGCTCTCTGCCAACACCTCGGCGCAGCAACAACTCTCTGCCAACACCCAGACACAACTCCAGCTCTCTGCCAACTCTCTTCCACAGCAACAACTCTCTGCCAACACCCAGACACAACTCCAGCTCTCTGCCAACTCTCTTCCACAGCAACAACTCTCTGCCAACACCCCCACAACGCCAGCTCTCTGCCAACTCTCTTCCACAGCAACAACTCTCTGCCAACACCCCCACAACGCCAGCTCTCTGCCAACTCTCTTCCACAGCAACAACTCTCTGCCAACACCCCCACAACGCCAGCTCTCTGCCAACTCTCTTCTACAGCAACAACTCTCTGCCAACACTCCTCTTCAACGCCAGCTCTCTGCCAACACCTCGGCACAGCAACAACTCTCTGCCAACACCCCCCACAACGCCAGCTCTCTGCCAAAACTCATCTTCAACGCCAGCTATCTGCCAAAACTTCGGCACAGCAACAACTCTCTGCCAACACCCAGACACAATTCCAGCTCTCTGCCAACACCCCTCTTCAGCGCCAGCTATCTGCCAACACTTCGGCACAGCAACAACTCTCTGCCAACACTCTTCCACAGCAACAACTCTCTGCCAACACTCCTCTTCAACGCCAACTCTCTGCCAACACTCTTCCACAGCAACAACTCTCTGCCAACACCCCCACAACGCCAGCTCTCTGCCAACACTCCCCCACAGCCACAACTCTCTGCCAACACCCCCACAACGCCAGCTCTCTGCCAACACTCCCCCACAGCCACAACTCTCTGCCAACACTCCTCTTCAACGCCAACTCTCTGCCAATACTCATCTTCAACGCCAGCTCTCTGCCAACACCTCGGCACAGCAACAACTCTCTGCCAACACTCTTCCACAACGCCAGCTCTCTGCCAACTCTCTTCTACAGCAACAACTCTCTGCCAACACTCCTCTTCAACGCCAGCTCTCTGCCAACTCTCTTCCACAGCAACAACTCTCTGCCAACACCCCCACAACGCCAGCTCTCTGCCAACTCTCTTCCACAGCAACAACTCTCTGCCAACACCCCCACAACGCCAGCTCTCTGCCAACTCTCTTCCACAGCAACAACTCTCTGCCAACACTCCTCTTCAACGCCAGCTCTCTGCCAACACCTCGGCACAGCAACAACTCTCTGCCAACACCCCCCACAACGCCAGCTCTCTGCCAACACTCTTCCACAGCAACAACTCTCTGCCAACACCCCCACAACGCCAGCTCTCTGCCAAAACTCATCTTCAACGCCAGCTATCTGCCAACACCTCGGCACAGCAACAACTCTCTGCCAACACTCTTCCACAGCAACAACTCTCTGCCAACACCCCTCTTCAGCGCCAACTCTCTGCCAACACTCTTCCACAGCAACAACTCTCTGCCAACACTCCTCTTCAACGCCAACTCTCTGCCAATACTCATCTTCAACGCCAGCTCTCTGCCAACACCTCGGCACAGCAACAACTCTCTGCTAACACTCTTCCACAGCAACAACTCTCTGCCAACACTCCTCTTCAACGCCAGCTCTCTGCCAACACCTCGGCACAACGCCAGCTCTCTGCCAACACCCCCACAACGCCAGCTCTCTGCCAACACTCCCCAGCAGCACAACTCCTGCCAACACTCCCTCTTCAACGCCAGCTCTCTGCCAACACTCTTCCACAGCAACAACTCTCTGCCAACACTCCTCTTCAACGCCAACTCTCTGCCAATACTCATCTTCAACGCCAGCTTCGCCACCAAACACCTCGGCACAGCAACAACTCTCTGCCAACACTCTTCCACAGCAACAACTCTCTGCCAACACCCCCACAACGCCAGCTCTCTGCCAACTCTCTTCTACAGCAACAACTCTCTGCCAACACTCCTCTTCAACGCCAGCTCTCTGCCAACACTCTTCCCACAGCAACAACTCTCTGCCAACACTCCTCTTCAACGCCAACTCTCTGCAATACTCATCTTCAACGCCAGCTCTCTGCCAACACCTCGGACAGCAACAACTCTCTGCCAACACTCTTCCACAACGCCAGCTCTCTGCCAACACTTTCTACAGCACAACTCTCTGCCAACACTCCTCTTCAACGCCAGCTCTCTGCCAACACTCTTCCACAGCAACAACTCTCTGCCAACACTCCTCTTCAACGCCAGCTTCTCTGCCAATACTCATCTTCAACGCCAGCTCTCTGCCAACACCTCGGCACAGCAACAACTCTCTGCCAACACTCTTCACACGCCAGCTCTCTGCCAACACTCCTCTTCAACGCCAGCTCTCTGCCAACACTCCTCTTCAACGCCAACTCTCTGCCAACACTCTTCCACAGCAACAACTCTCTGCCAACACTCTTCCACAACGCCAGCCTCTGCCAACACTCCTCTTCAACGCCAGCTCTCTGCCAACACTCTTCACAGCAACAACTCTCTGCCAACACTCCTCTTCAACGCCAACTCTCTGCCAATACTCATCTTCAACGCCAGCTCTCTGCCAACACCTCGGCACAGCAACAACTCTCTGCCAACACTCTTCCACAGCAACAACTCTCTGCCAACACTCCTCTTCAACGCCAGCTCTCTGCCAACACCTCGGCACAACGCCAGCTCTCTGCCAACACCCCCACAACGCCAGCTCTCTGCCAACACTCCCCCACAGCCACAACTCTCTGCCAACACTCCTCTTCAACGCCAGCTCTCTGCCAACACTCTTCCACAGCAACAACTCTCTGCCAACACTCCTCTTCAACGCCAACTCTCTGCCAATACTCATCTTCAACGCCAGCTCTCTGCCAACACCTCGGCACAGCAACAACTCTCTGCCAACACTCTTCCACAACGCCAGCTCTCTGCCAACACTCCTCTTCAACGCCAGCTCTCTGCCAACACTCCTCTTCAACGCCAGCTCTCTGCCAACACCTCGGCACAGCAACAACTCTCTGCCAACACTCTTCCACAACGCCAGCTCTCTGCCAACACTCCTCTTCAACGCCAGCTCTCTGCCAACACTCCTCTTCAACGCCAACTCTCTGCCAACACTCTTCCACAGCAACAACTCTCTGCCAACTCTCTTCCACAGCAACAACTCTCTGCCAACACTCATCTTCAACGCCAGCTCTCTGCCAACACCTCGGCACAGCAACAACTCTCTGCTAACACTCTTCCACAGCAACAACTCTCTGCCAACACTCCTCTTCAACCCAGCTCTCTGCCAACACCTCGGCACAACGCCAGCTCTCTGCCAACACCCCCACAACGCCAGCTCTCTGCCAACACTCCCCCACAGCCACAACTCTCTGCCAACACTCCTCTTCAACGCCAGCTCTCTCTGCCAACACTCTTCCACAGCAACAACTCTCTGCCAACACTCCTCTTCAACGCCAACTCTCTGCCAATACTCATCTTCAACGCCAGCTCTCTGCCAACACCTCGGCACAGCAACAACTCTCTGCCAACACTCTTCCACAGCAACAACTCTCTGCCAACACCCCCACAACGCCAGCTCTCTGCCAACTCTCTTCTACAGCAACAACTCTCTGCCAACACTCCTCTTCAACGCCAGCTCTCTGCCAACACTCTTCCACAGCAACAACTCTCTGCCAACACTCCTCTTCAACGCCAACTCTCTGCCAATACTCATCTTCAACGCCAGCTCTCTGCCAACACCTCGGCACAGCAACAACTCTCTGCCAACACTCTTCCACAACGCCAGCTCTCTGCCAACACTCTTCTACAGCAACAACTCTCTGCCAACACTCCTCTTCAACGCCAGCTCTCTGCCAACACTCTTCCACAGCAACAACTCTCTGCCAACACTCCTCTTCAACGCCAGCTCTCTGCCAATACTCATCTTCAACGCCAGCTCTCTGCCAACACCTTCGGCACAGCTCTCTGCCAACACTTCTCCACAACGCCAGCTCTCTGCCAACACTCCTCTTCAACGCCAGCTCTCTGCCAACACTCCTCTTCAACGCCAACTCTCTGCCAACACTCTTCCACAGCAACAACTCTCTGCCAACACTCTTCCACAACGCCAGCTCTCTGCCAACACTCCTCTTCAACGCCAACTCTCTGCCAACACTCTTCCACAGCAACAACTCTCTGCCAACACTCCTCTTCAACGCCAACTCTCTGCCAATACTCATCTTCAACGCCAGCTCTCTGCCAACACCTCGGCACAGCAACAACTCTCTGCTAACACTCTTCCACAGCAACAACTCTCTGCCAACACTCCTTTCAACGCCAGCTCTCTGCCAACACCTCGGCACAACGCCAGCTCTCTGCCAACACCCCACAACGCCAGCTCTCTGCCAACACTCCCCACAGCCAACTCTCTGCCAACACTCCTCTTCAACGCCAGCTCTCTGCCAACACTCTTCCACAGCAACAACTCTCTGCCAACACTCCTCTTCAACGCCAACTCTCTGCCAATACTCATCTTCAACGCCAGCTCTCTGCCAACACCTCGGCACAGCAACAACTCTCTGCCAACACTCTTCCACAACGCCAGCTCTCTGCCAACACTCCTCTTCAACGCCAGCTCTCTGCCAACACTCCTCTTCAACGCCAGCTCTCTGCCAACACTCGGCACAGCAACAACTCTCTGCCAACACTCTTCCACAACGCCAGCTCTCTGCCAACACTCCTCTTCAACGCGCTCTCTGCCAACACTCCTCTTCAACGCCAACTCTCTGCCAACACTCTTCCACAGCAACAACTCTCTGCCAACTCTCTTCCACAGCAACAACTCTCTGCCAACACTCATCTTCAACGCCAGCTCTCTGCCAACACCTCGGCACAGCAACAACTCTCTGCCAACACTCATCTTCAACGCCAGCTCTCTGCCAACACCTCGGCGCAGCAACAACTCTCTGCCAACACCCAGACACAACTCCAGCTCTCTGCCAACTCTCTTCCACAGCAACAACTCTCTGCCAACACCCAGACACAACTCCAGCTCTCTGCCAACTCTCTTCCACAGCAACAACTCTCTGCCAACACCCCCACAACGCCAGCTCTCTGCCACTCTCTTCCACAGCAACAACTCTCTGCCAACACCCCACAACGCCAGCTCTCTGCCAACTCTCTTCCACAGCAACAACTCTCTGCCAACACCCCCACAACGCCAGCTCTCTGCCAACTCTCTTCTACAGCAACAACTCTCTGCCAACACTCTCCTCTTCAACGCCAACTCTCTGCCAACACTCTTCCACAGCAACAACTCTCTGCCAACACCCCCAAACGCCAGCTCTCTGGCCAAAACTCATCTTCAACGCCAGCTATCTGCCAAAACTTCGGCACAGCAACAACTCTCTGCCAACACCCAGACACAATTCCAGCTCTCTGCCAACACCCCTCTTCAGCGCCAGCTATCTGCCAACACTTCGGCACAGCAACAACTCTCTGCCAACACTCTTCCACAGCAACAACTCTCTGCCAACACTCCTCTTCAACGCCAACTCTCTGCCAACACTCTTCCGCAACAACTCTCTGCCAACACCCCACAACGCCAGCTCTCTGCAACACTCCCCCACAGCCACAACTCTCTGCCACCCCCACAACGCCAGCTCTCTGCCAACACTCCCCCACAGCCACAACTCTCTGCCAACACTCCTCTTCAACGCCAAGTCTCTGCCAATACTCATCTTCAACGCCAGCTCTCTGCCAACACCTCGCACAGCAACAACTCTCTGCCAACACTCTTCCACAACGCCAGCTCTCTGCCAACTCTCTTCTACAGCAACAACTCTCTGCCAACACTCCTCTTCAACGCCAGCTCTCTGCCAACTCTCTTCCACAGCAACAACTCTCTGCCAACACCCCCACAACGCCAGCTCTCTGCCAACTCTCTTCCACAGCAACAACTCTCTGCCAACACCCCCACAACGCCAGCTCTCTGCAACTCTCTTCCACAGCAACAACTCTCTGCCAACACTCCTCTTCAACGCCAGCTCTCTGCCAACACCTCGGCACAGCAACAACTCTCTGCCAACACCCCCCACAACGCCAGCTCTCTGCCAACACTCTTCCACAGCAACAACTCTCTGCCAACACCCCCACAACGCCAGCTCTCTGCCAAAACTCATCTTCAACGCCAGCTATCTGCCAACACCTCGGCACAGCAACAACTCTCTGCCAACACTCTTCCACAGCAACAACTCTCTGCCAACACCCCTCTTCAGCGCCAGCTATCTGCCAACACTTCGGCACAGCAACAACTCTCTGCCAACACTCCTCTTCAACGCCAACTCTCTGCCAACACTCTTCCACAGCAACAACTCTCTGCCAACACCCCCACAACGCCAGCTCTCTGCCAACTCTCTTCTACAGCAACAACTCTCTGCCAACACTCCTCTTCAACGCCAGCTCTCTGCCAACACTCTTCCACAGCAACAACTCTCTGCCAACACTCCTCTTCAACGCCAACTCTCTGCCAATACTCATCTTCAACGCCAGCTCTCTGCCAACACCTCGGCACAGCAACAACTCTCTGCCAACACTCTTCCACAACGCCAGCTCTCTGCCAACACTCTTCTACAGCAACAACTCTCTGCCAACACTCCTCTTCAACGCCAGCTCTCTGCCAACACTCTTCCACAGCAACAACTCTCTGCCAACACTCCTCTTCAACGCCAGCTCTCTGCCAATACTCATCTTCAACGCCAGCTCTCTGCCAACACCTCGGCACAGCAACAACTCTCTGCCAACACTCTTCCACAACGCCAGCTCTCTGCCAACACTCCTCTTCAACGCCAGCTCTCTGCCAACACTCCTCTTCAACGCCAACTCTCTGCCAACACTCTTCCACAGCAACAACTCTCTGCCAACACTCTTCCACAACGCCAGCTCTCTGCCAACACTCCTCTTCAACGCCAGCTCTCTGCCAACACTCCTCTTCAACGCCAACTCTCTGCCAATACTCATCTTCAACGCCAGCTCTCTGCCAACACTCTTCTACAGCAACAACTCTCTGCCAACACTCCTCTTCAACGCCAGCTCTCTGCCAACACCTCGGCACAGCAACAACTCTCTGCTAACACTCTTCCACAGCAACAACTCTCTGCCAACACTCCTCTTCAACGCCAGCTCTCTGCCAACACCTCGGCACAACAACAACTCTCTGCCAACACTCCCCCACAGCAACAGCTCTCTGCCAATACTCAGCCTCAGCCTCACCCATCTGTGTCTATTCCCCTTAAGCGCGGGAGACCCAAAGTTAATGTACCAAAAGATCTTAATGTAACTATTAGAAACCTAATTGAGCAGCATGGCCATCTTGGAATAATCTCCGCCTATAACCAAATAAATAAAGATATCGAATATGCCAAATCTCATTTTGAGGCATTTTTGGACATGAAGACGGGTATTGTTCCACAGCCAACGCCTACCCAAACATGGTTCTCCGCTATTGAACGTTTTAAGCCCCTGAATCAAATTTCTTCCACAATTCCTTCCGGACTTATGATTGAAGAGTCTCCATTATCATTTCCATCTGAGCTGAGGAACATTAAATATCTTACAAACCCTCTTCCACATCCCCCCTCAAGACATATGGTAGAAAGAGCTTTTAGAGAGCTAGGCTTGGCACGTCCAAGGGGACCCTATCGGCCAAAAGGAAAGACAAGATACTTAGCTGCCTTTCCTAACCAAATATGGCACGTTGATATCCACTTTCTTGGCAAAAAGAGAAGTCAGATTCTTTATGCTGTGATTGATGACTGCACAAGGCTCATCATAGAATGGCAGCATCTTTCGTCAAAACATGCTAGCCAAACAGTGAAAGTAATTAAGAGAGCAATAGCCCGTTATGGACCACCACATACAATTTGGTCCGATAATGGCGGCGAGAATAAAGGCGAGTTCCTAAAGGCTATGAGGGTTCGGGGGATCAATAATGTATATATTGTCCCCCATTGCCCATACCAAAATGGGAAAATCGAGCGCTTGTGGCCTAACATAGAGAGCAGAGAGTTGTCATGGGCAAAGATTCAACAATGGGTTGAGTACTATAATGCTAAACCTCATCTAGCATTACCAACTCATTATGTGAATGGAAAACAAATTCACTATAGCCCATCTGAAATGTGGAAGAAACTTCCAATTTGGAAGAGGGGAATGCCGGCAAAATGGATTGTGGATGGAGTCTCTCAAGATTTTCTTCCAGGTTCACTTATGGCCAATGAGATGCCAGAGCTCCAAGGAATCGAAGAAGATGAATGAGAAAAAGAAGGAGAGGAAGTTGAAGAAGAAGAAAATAAGGCGAATCCGGTTGAAATAGAAGAAGATAGTAATGAAGAAGAAGAATACGAAGTAAATTATGAAGAAGAATATCAAGAAGATTATGAAGACCCTTATGAAGAAGATTATGATGATTCATTTTAATATTACGAATAAAATGTCACTTTTTCTATTTTTGACACGTAAAGTTGTCACTTTTCTGTCAACCGTTTTTATCGTTTTCGTATATAACAAACCAAAAAACGTTTTTTGAGGAACCGAAAGAGTTCAGGCAAACGTTCATATTCCGGATATGTTGGGAGCAGTTCGAAACATCTGAGCTGACTTTCGGACAAAATTGGGACAATGTCAACAAATTCATCTTTGGTCGGACTGCTTGAAGGTAAGTCCCTTACATGTAAGTAGCTCTGGTAAAGTCTTCTCATTTCTGCTAACTTTTGGAGTATAGCTTCGTAGTTTAGAAGTTTTAATTTTAATTGTCTTATTCCACTCTTGACATCTAAACGGTAACTATCCATGAGGTCAAGAGTAGCTTTGGTAGCTTTAAGTGGAGCTATCTGTTCCTTGACCTCTGCAATTTTGGTTGCAATTGTGATTTGAGCTCCTTTAAGTTCGCCGTCTATGTCGTTCTCAACGTCTTCAACGATGGCTTGAAACTCTTCATCGGTCCATTGAGATTGGTGTGGGACGAATTTAACTTGCTTCATTCAAAAAATGAAAAAAAATGTTTTTACTCTAAACGTTAAGGTTTACTGAACTGGTTGGATGTCGCCTTCACAGGTTATGTAGAACGGCTGACCCGAGAAGTGAAGGAGAGACTGAATTGCCAATTTCATATGGGGTAGGGGGTTCTCCTTGTTTGGTATTTTTATCCAAGGACGTTTGTTTAGGAACTTAACAAGAGCTTCTCTTTTGGCGTCCTTTATGCCATCGTAGGCTGTCCCGTCTGGTATTTGAATTGGAATTCCAGTCGAAGTCTCGAGCTGAAGTGTAGACCTTCCAGAAATAGTGGTGAACTTGACCTTGGGCTTCATTACCCTGCGCAAGTACTGCTTAACAACTTCATTTATCTCTATAAGGTAAATTGCCTCGTCAAATCCTTCTGGCATTCCGAGTCCTTCCATCCGACAGGAAAATATTTTCCCGACAACTGGAAAAAATTTTCCGGACAAAGGGAAAAATTTTTCCTTCCGACAGGAAGAACTCTTCCAGTTGTCCGTCCGTAAACCATTCAAATTTTCGAAAATTGAGAACTTTTTGGTCGAACTTCAGAAAAAGTTTTTCCTTCCGACAGAAAAAGTTTTTCCTTCCGACAGGACACAAACGGATGACTGACGTTCCTCTTCCTGAACGCCTTCCAAAGCCAGAAGAACCGAAAGCTGCAGAACCGAAAGCTGTAGAACCACAACAGTCTCCTCAGCAACCTCAGTTCCAGCAAGTACCTCCACCAAATTACTACCAATTTCCACCTCAAGGTTACTACCTACCACAAGGCTTCCCGAACTACCCTCCTCCTCAGCCTATGCCTTACTTCCCCAACCCTTGGATGTTCCAGCAAGCTCCACCCCAGCAATTCCAATCTCAATCCCAATCGAAGAGAGCCCAAGAGTTCGAAGAAGGTCTGAACCGTTTACGCAAAGATTATGCCACAGTCCCGATGGAAGACGACAGGCTTTCAGTCTCTTCCCTCAAATCGACCGATTCGACTCGTACCACAGATTCGGTTCGTGACCGTGAAGACTACCTCAAGCAGTCTGAGAGACTCTTCATCCTACAATCATTTACAATTGGAGCTCTCAAGAACATGCACAATTACGAAGGTCAGACACCAACTGGAGACCGCAAAACAGACGTACTCGCAAGAGCCGTCCAGCTCGTCAAAACAAAGACTGAGATAGTCGACTTCATTCTTGCAGCTTGCCCATACAAGTAAAAAAAATAAACAATTACGAGTTAAACTTTTTATTCTTTCTTTTCTGAGTTGTTTAGAGCTGGTTTCTCTTGTAGGAACTTTCGTACTCTTCCATGGTCATGTAATTGCGAATTTTGTACGCAATTCCAGGTTCGTTGTTTTTGAACCTTACGTATGTAACGCTTCCATCCTCCTCAGGGAAGTAAGCTGCTAACATCTGACCAAGTTTTCTCGGTGACTCGGAGCTCATTAAAAATGTCACTTTTTTAAACGTTAAGTTTTTAGTCTTATTTTACCCTTTGTTTGTCAAGGTAGTATTGGAGCGCAATTTCTCCAAATTCTCTGTGTCGGAGTTCTTCAGCATTTTCCAAGGTGTACCTGGAGAACTCAAAGAAGTTGTCAAGAACATACTGCCATGCTGCTCTTCTGAGTTCGTCGGTATTTTGGAAGTGTTGCACCTTCGAGTCTTCTGACATGAAAAAATGACACTTTTTCTATTAAACCGTTTTGGCATTTCTCATGAGTGAGTATAGTTCTGCCGAACCATTGGAAGAGAAGAAGTACTCTTGCTGGCAAAAGACAAAAATAGTTGCCTTAGTTGTCATTGCAATTGTACTCGTAATTGAATTCATTGTACTTCTCTTCACGTACATAAAACTCAGCAATGGTATTTGCTTTAAGAAGCTACCATCTTACTAAGACTAAACACTTAGATTTTTCAAGCTTGACTTTTTACAATTTGAATTTTGTTGCTGAATTCAGTAAAAATATAATTTAGGGTAGAAGGTTAGATCTAACCTCATTTCTACCCTCATTTCTACCCTCTTGAATTTTCATGAATTTTATATATATTAATGTTTTCGTTATGCCACTTTGTGCCGTCAGTCAGTCAGTCAGTCAGTCAGTCAGTTTAGGAAATTTACACCAAAAAATAATGTTTAGGGTAGAAGGTTAGATCTAACCTGTTTTCTACCCTCATTTCTACCCTCTTGAATTTTCATGAATTTTCCCGAAATAAAAAATAAAGTTAGTTTTATTTTTTTTATTTTTTTATTTTGTATAAAAGAACAGAAATGTCAACAATCGGCACAACAACAATTCAAACAACAGCACCAAACTCGTTAGTCATGAATCCTACGTCAATGTTGGTAGAGATGAAAAGCTTCATTCCTTCTTCATATACTTTCGAAACAAAAATCCAGAAGATAAAGCAAGAACTGTTAACAAGTAATTTAGACTGTAGTGCGAAAGATGAAACAAATGAACAGTATCTTTATGAAATGGAGGACATTATTGACCATTTGCCTAAACTACCTGAAATTCAGCAACAAAAACTAACCATTCCTGAATTCGACGAAATTGAAGTCAAAGCAACTGACTCAGTAGAAATAAAGAAGTTCATACGAAAGGTAAATTATGAATTCCTTGGTTTTCATTGCAACCATAAAGTTATGGAAAAAGATTGCGACATGGTATATAAGAACATCTCTGACATATATAAATCGGGGGAGTTTAAGACATACGACAACTTTGTTTCATTAGTTGCAGAATGTGTATGGCAGATAAGAGATGAAGATAGAAGAGGTAAAGTATGGAATAAACAGATAAAACCAGCAGCTTTTGAGTTAAAGAAAACCATTGACGCCTTAGTTGTTCTAGCAGGTAAGGTTTCAGAATATAACGCAAAAATGAACCCGCAATGTTCTAAATGTAAAGCAGCAATGAGGAGATATAACTACTCCGTCAAAGAGATAGAAAGAATGAGAAACGACTATGCAGATTTAAAGAAAGAAGCAGAAAAGCCAGCAGAAAATAAAATGGACATGTTAGAATTTCTGAACAAAAACTATCCAACAGCAGAAGATTTCCTTCTATCTGACGTCAAGAAGAAGTATAAAGAAACTTTCGGTATCGTTAAAACATTCGATGTACTAAAAGAAGAAATAGAAGCTACGAAACTGTTTAGAGTCTCACGAATTCATAACGTTTACCATGTGAAACGCTTATAAAATAACTGGGGTAGAAAAGAGGGTAGAAATGAGGTTAGATCTAACCTTCTACCCTAAACATTATTTTTGCTGAATTCAGCAACAAAATTCTGAGTAAAATAATTTTTAGGGCATGTGTCAAACCGTTGAGTTTTCACAAAATTTAAAAAATAACGTTTACCATGTAAAACGCTTATAAAATAACTGGGGTAGAAAGGAGGGTAGAAATGAGGTTAGATCTAACCTTCTACCCTAAACATTATTTTTGCTGAATTCAGCAACAAAATTCTTGATTTCAGGGATTTTTTTGACGAAGTGCAAACCTTCACTTCGTCAAAAAATGGCATATGCTTGCTTCCCTCGGAAAACCGAGAGAAGAGATTCCGTACGAAAACAGTGAAGAACAGCGAGACCGACTTTTTTCTGGGTCGCCTAAAACTCATGAAAATCGTGAAAAATAACAGAGTATTTTGACAACTTCAAACAAGTAGGGTAGATGAACCATTTATTTTTCAAGCTTGACTTTTTACAATTTGAACTTTGTTTGCGTAGATATGAATTCTGAAAGAAGTATGAGGGTCTTGTATGACTTTGTACTTCTCCCATAGTTCATGTCTGTCAAACTTACCTGCCATGGACTCTTTCATAAGTTCCATGAAATCGTCTTCGGACAATCCGGGGAAAAGTATAATGTCAGTAAGTATTCTTTTAACATCCTTACTTAAACTCTTTGCTGTCTGTACACAAATGACAACTGAGATGTTAAAGTGTCTGAGCTTCTTAAGAATTCGACACATATCTTGTTCTCTATTCTTTAACAAAGGATGAGAAGCAAAGTCATCTAAGATAAGAAGACACCTATGAGGGTAAGTCTTCCAATCGTAAGATTGCAATTTCTTCGAAATGTATTCTATCTCTTTCTGTTTGTTTCTGAAGTGGTGTTTGTCTAATATTCTCTGCATTTCCTCATTTGGGTCTTTAAACTTAGAATTTATATACTCATTTATAGCATTATATTTCAAAACTCTTCTTTGGTACTTCTTTATCCAATCTAACAACTCAGAGTCTTTTATACATACTAACTTAGACTTCTTTATAATATCTTTGAACGAATTGACGGTTTGGTCAAATTGACCAGAAGTACTACAAATGACAACTAACTCATAGAATGGGTTCTTCTCATCTAGTTCTTGTTGTTGTGCAGCCATTTTAAGATAAGTGAAAGTCTTACCCGACCCAGGTGGTGCAATTAGACCTGTTATACCATTCTGAGCAAATAAGAACTTGTCATGTATAGGTTTTATCTGAGCATTTTCTAACTTCCTCTTGTCTTGTTTAAAACATTCTCAAATTTTTTGTCAATGTCAGCAAACTTTTTTTCTAACATATTTTTAGAAAAATTAAAATTTTTATCTTTTAGAAAATGTCTAGCGATTTCGCTATCTATATTCGAGACAAGCTTTTCGACAGCAAAACATCTGTCGACCATAAAATCTTACATAGTGTAAACAAGAAAGGGGAATTTGTTCTAAAGTTCTGTTTCTGGGAATATGACAAGAACCATAAAACATTAAGCAGAGAAGTCTTAAAATTTGTCAATGACAGACTTGTTGACAGAGATGACGCCTCTTGGAGAGATGAAGTCCAACAAAATTTCTTAGAATGCAAAGAAGACACATGCGCTGTTCTTGAAGATGAAATAGAAAACAGAATAGAAGAGCTATTAAAGGACAAAGAACTTTTACATAAATATAGTTGCGCCAAATTTGACATAACTCCACCAGAAAAGAAGAAGAAAGAAAAGAAAGAAAAGAAAGTAGAAGAAGAGAAGAAAGAACCTGAACCAGTTCCAGAGAAAAAGAAATTTGACATGTAAAATAAAATTTTATTTTTAGAACATTTCTGGGTCAATGTCAATGTTCTCTTCCTCTTTAGGAGTAAACACTGGCTTAGACTCTAAAATCTTTTTACCCAATTTACCTTGAACTTCTACAACTTTAGACTCATAATATTCATAGTCGTCTGCTTTCTTTGGTTCATAAGGTATAACAAGTTTGTATGCTTTGCCTTCTTTAAGGTTTGAAAACCTTCTGTCAAAACTTTCTTTGACTGCTAACAAACCTTCTATGTCTAAGTCTTCAAATTTCGCACCATTTTTAGTCACAATAGCAAACTTAACTGGTTCGATGTTCCAAACTTTGCTGAATGAAGACTTTTCAAAATGGTAGAAGTAAACATTCAAATATGTGAATGGGTCTAGTTCTTCTTTAAGTCCTGACATGTACTTATTTACTGAGATGAATTTTGCCATCTTTTCTATCGGATAAAAAATATTTTTTTTAAAATTTACTCATAAAAAATTTCTTTGTATATACACCATTCTGAACATCTAAAAGACTTTTGACATTTGCAAGAATGTTCGTTTAGACGCTGTCAATATAAATTCTTGACAATATTGTTTATACGAATCGTACAATGACTTTATCTAATGACACAAAGTCAGTTTCATCTATGAACAGTTCATATACACTCTTGTTTGCTTCTAACAATGTTTGTCTCTCTTCGGTATGTGGAATTTGTCTTGGATTGAACTTTGAAATATCTAATGTCATAAAATATGAGAACAAGTGGTTGTAAAAGTCAGATGTCAAAGTTTCTGCTAAGTCGTCAATATTCTGTATCTTGCATATGAGAATCTGACGTTCTGACAACTACATATCTTCTGTCAGAACTTTCTACTTCATCGAACAGCATTGTTTGAAACCATAATGAAGTTTGCAACATTTCACAAACTCTTTGGTCTTTATACTTTCTTTCAACACTCCAACTTTGTCTGTTATAAGACTCTTCAAAGCATCTGAGTTCAAAAACTTTTGTTGTATCTATACTTTTGAAGTTCATTGCAAACTATAATTTCATATTCTCTATTGAGGAGTTAAACTTGCCACAGATGTTTTCTAAGTTTGTCATATTAGGGTTCGAATAACCTTCTACAGTTTGCATAAGATATCTGTAAAGAATGTGTTCTTACCAGTTCCTTGTTTTCCATTATAATGAGAGCAGTTTTATTTATAGCCTTGGATGTTGTAAGATGTTTTGCAACCAACATAAGATATACTCATAGACTCTTTCGTTTCCATTGCATATATTTCTTTGACATGGTCTAACCAAGCTTCTATAATATTTTCTTTCCATTCTACTTGTTCGTATTTATATCCAGTGAAGATAGAATAGAAGTTTGGAGAAGGTGTATAGAACTTTATACCTCGAACTGAAAAATCTTCTAACTTTGACAATAAGATATCCCAAGCATCTAACATCTTCATGCCAACTTGTACGACTTTTATTTTCTTAAGTTTCTGTCTACATTCTTGTTCTGAAACTATTGTCGCTTTAGGTTTGTTAAAGACTACATCCCATTCTTTCATAACATAACATTCTGGGGCAGAGTCGACATAAATGACTAAACGTTTCAAATCTCGACTGCTTGTTATAGTCTCGAAATGGACACATATTTCGAATGCTTGGAAGTCATAAAAATCTGAACATCTATTCTGTACATTTTTATAAAATAAAAAAAATATTTTTTTATTCTTGACTTTGTTGTTGCATTTGTTGCATTTGTTGTTTTTGAGCTATTGTTGTTGAAGTTGTTCTTGTAATACAATACTTTCACCAGTTGCATCTTCCAATTCGAAAACTTTCTGCCGTCATTGACAAATACATAGGACATAAAAGTTTTACAGGAACAAAGTTTGCGTCAACTAATGTCACGTTATACTTGCCAAAGTGTTTGAGTTCACTAAGGTTGAAAATTCTGCATTCGAATGAACAATAGGCAAACAGCAGAGAAAGTATTGTTTATACGCATAAGTATCTTTTGGTCATAATAGTTTCTGTCGACATTCGAATAACACTTTGAACCTAAGTTTGAACAATATATAAGATTGGTGTGCTTAATGTCAATGGAATAGACATTCTTGTATGACACCTTTTCTGTTATAGGAAACTGTTGTAGTAAAAACCAGAAATAAGTTTTGTATTATAGCTCATATCATTAATAGTAAACTCAGTCGGACATCCAAACATAATGAAACCTGCTCTAGTTGCAGCACATGTTACACCCGTACTTAAAGTATT